TAAAGGGCTATTGTTCCAATACATGGCTTAATAAGGACTTTTAGTAGCATAGTGGCTACGAGTCGGGCTGCTAACCTCAAGGACAGCAGTTTGAAACTACCAGCAGTTCCACAGGAGAAAGATGAAGTATTCTTCTCCTGTAAAGATTTACAGCTTTGGAAATCCTATACAAGGTTGCTATGAGTCGGAACTGATTCTACAGCATATAACCAATGGCTTTACAATAACCTGTCAACTGGTCACTTGATTACTTTTATTCAGCTTATAGAAGAGCCTCTAATTGTAGCAATCTTGGTATTCTGGATGCTTCATTTGCTGTAAAAAGCAATCAGACTATCAATGGTTCAGATTTACTAAAGCGTGGCTGTAATGCCAAGGTTCCCAACTGTGCCAAAAGTACTGTTAGGAATTCAAGAGATGGGGCCATGGCCATATTTTGAAACTAAGGCAGGGTTTCTTGTTTCATCAAACAGGATTGTCACTAGGATGAGGAAATTTGATTTAACAAAACTGTTTTCCCAGAAGCACAGACATTTTGCCTCTCTTTTTAGATCCAGGGGACCTGCCTGGGTTCAAATCACAAAGGTGCTCTGTGAATGAAGAATGACACCTGTGCTCTTCTGGAGATGCTATAAATGATACAAGGAAATGAAAGGCTTGGGGACGAGAGTCCCAATGTGAAGGGACACACAAACATCCCTGAAGCACTCAGTCACAGATGCCAATAACAGGATGTAGGCACCAGCAAAGGGACACAGGCTTCTGGGTTCAAAGCTTGGTGAAAAACTGTCCCAGGAGCAACGAGGGATTATTTGTCATTCTGACATCTAAAAGGAAAAGGGGTCAACTGGACCATAAAAGGCTGATGTTGTTGCCAGCTCTACTCATGTTGAAACCGTTAACATGCTCACAATGAAAGTGCTGTGCTTTATGGGTTGGGTGGAACAGATTACAATATATTATAGGTTGGAGAACGGGAGCTACACTAAACACCTCTGCTCAAAACAGCTGGAAAATGACTACACTAATCTCTATGGAGCCAGAAAGACAGCAAATTAGGTAACAAGGGCACCAGATCTAGGGACTGAAGGAGATTCACTCTGGATCTTCTTCACAAAATCTTGTGAGGCTGGTATTGGTATTATCCCCATTTTACAGATGAGGAAATCAAGAATTTTAAAGGGTTGCTTAGTCATTGAGGGGTTTGTCTGACGCTACAGACTATAATCCCAAAGAGCTACCAAATTTCTTCCTCATTTGAGGAGAGTCTGGAGATTCATGCAGAATCAAAGAATGTAAGCGCTGAAGAGAGAAACATTACATTAAAACCTGTGTGAGGCAGAAATCTGTTCAAGAAGAAAGACTCAAATATCTTTCTATGGTGCTATGGGTTAACGCCCAGGACTGGAAAGTCTGTTTGAACCATCAGTTCAAGCTCACTAGTTGCTCTTTAGAAACCGTATGCATGGTCACTGTGGGTCGGAACTGGCTCAACAGCACTAACAACAACAATAAGAGAGCAATAGAAAAGTGGTAAGTCTGCAACCTGTCAGAAGTGGGAAACCTGTGAGACCCAGGAAAAGTAGATAGTCTCGTTGAGTTCTGCTTCTCAAAGTTTTACTGTAATAAATTGTTACTATGGAAATGGAAGAGAGAAATAAAGCAAAAAGTAGAAGCAAGTCAATGTTAAATATATAAAGTAAACCTGTAAGCATACTGATATCAAAAGCAGCAAAAGGAGAAAGAAAAAATATATGATCTCACGAAAGTACACTGATATTGAGCTGTGATATCCATTTTCCTTCTCAAGTTCCATCAGAGCACGGAATGGATCAATCTGTTCATTCACAAGAAAATCCTGAATGTACACTCTGCCATGAATGTTAGGAGTCCTGAGTGGTGCAAATGATTAATGCACTTACTTGTCCACTAACTGAAAGGTGTGATTTCAGTCTGTCCAGAGGTGCCTCGTGTGGTGCTGTGGGTTAATGTGCTGAACTGCAAGGTCAGTTTGAACAGCAAGGTCGGTGGTTCAAGTTCACCAATGACTCCTCAGAAACCCTATACAGGGTCACTATGCGTCAGAACCAATTCAACGGCACTTAACAACAAACAACAACAACAGAGGTGCCTTGGAAGAGCGGCCTGGTGATCTGCTTCTAAATTATCAGCCACTGAAAACCCTGTGGAACCTGGTTCTACTCTGATATACATGGGGTTGTCATTAGATGGAATCTAGTTAATGGGAAATGGTTACCAGAAAGGCCATTTCCTTGGAGACAAAGCTCCTCCCTGTGTCCTTTCTGGCTCTTATAGAAGTCCTTGCTTCACCTGGTTCCTGGGTCTGCCCTTCCTGGGAAGATAACATGGCCTTCCCATAGCAATTGCTCCATAAGAAACACTAGGACTGAAAAGTCATTTTTGACTTTGAAGCAATGGTGTTGTCATTGTTGTTGTTGTTAGGTGCCATCAGGTTGATACCGATTCATAGTGACCTTATGCACAGCAGAATGAAACACTGCCTGATCCTGAGTCAACCTCACTACTGTTGCCACACTTGAGTCCATCGATGCTGCCACTTGGCCAATCATATGGACTTGTTATTGGGAAAGAAAGCTTTTATATTAAGAAGTAAGGGGAAAAAAGAGGGAATGGAAGCAAATGCTGTTGAATGATGATGCACAGAGGGGATTGTAATAATTGCAATGAAACGAAACACGATAGGATGAATGTAAAGTGGATATTCTCCCATGTAAACTATCGCTCAATTCACAATAAAAACTTAAAAAAAAAAAAAAAAGAAGTAAAGTGGACATCCCTAGATTATAATAGTCCTGATATGGCAATGTAGGATAAGCACTGGACTGCTAACCATAAGGTTGGTGGTTCAAACTCAACAGCTGCTTCTTGGAAACCCTTTGGAAACTCATATTGTCACTGTGAGTCATAACTGATTTGGTGGCACTTAATAACAAAGTAAAGAGTGTAAATTATCACAAGAGCATCATCATTTTCCCACCAGGAGCCATGACATTTTAAAACATGCTCATCTGTGTGTTTTCTCCTTTTTGGATTTTACTTTGTATAAAATTATGCTTATTGATAAATGATTGAGGTACTTAATGGCTGGTACTTGTGTATATTATTTTAACCCAATTTTTATGGAGGAATTAGGGGAAGAAAGAGGAAGGTGGGACATTTATATGAATCAGCAATTTTCACTTTAAATCAGTGTATAAAATGTAACTAAAGAGTAGCTAAGAAAAGGAACATAAAATAATATGGTAACCAGGAGCCATGAAGACTGGGATGGATGTGGATTTGAATTGAATGAAGGCAGTACTGTCCTGACACCTGTATTTCTACCACCAAAGAAAGCAAAGGTGAAGGACCTGCAGAGTGAACCAGACCTGTATGAATTTGCAGGGCTTAACTGTTATGGAGTCCTGGTGTGGCACTGTGGGTTAATTAATGTACTAGACTGCAAAGTCAGTTTGCACTGCAAGGTCAGTGGTTCAAGCTCACCAGTCACTCCTTGGTAACCCTGTACAGGGTCACTATGGGTTGGAACCTATTCAATGACACTTAACAACAACAACCACAGAAGCTGTTAAGTGCCCTTGGGTCAGTTGAGTTTCATAGCAATCCTGTATAGGGTTTCCAAAGCTGTAAATCTTTACAGAAACAGAATAGTCTCATCTTTCTCCCACAGAGTGGCTGGTGGGCTTGAATCACTGACTTTGTGGTTAGCAGACCAGGGCTAATTCTACAGAGCCACCATACTCAATGCTAAAAGGTGTCAGGGACAAGAGCAAAGCTCCACTTTCCAAAGGCAAATCCTGAATCTAAACTTAGTCTCTGAAGCAAGTGCTGGGTAGCCCAAATGCCAGACCGTTCTGTGCACAACTGTGCCAAGCAGTGTTTCTTTGCCCTGGTCACCTTTGAAGTAACTCCATGAATTATATACTAGTAAATGTCTCCAGTGTATTGTTCCTCTTATAGACCTGTTTATTGTTTGGCTGAAAATTGAGACAAAAGGATGAGTTCATTTCCAGACCTGCAGGGTAACTGAAGGCCATGGTCTCAGGGTTCCGCCAGTTTCTATATCTGGCCAGTAAGTCTGTTTTTTTTTGTTTTTTGTTTTTTTTTAAATGACTGAGTGGAGATTGTAATCAATGAGATGAAACCAAATATATATGTATTGTTGAACGAAAAATGGATCCACTGACCTGTTCTGTAAACCTTCATCTAATTCACAATATACCGTTTAAATATAAAGAAGTCTCCAGTTTACAGGAACTAACACTGAGACAGGAAGATACAGTAATTTGTCCACGGTTATCCAGTGAGTAAGGGGCACTGCAATGAAAGGAATCTAGCAGACTGGTTCTTCAATATGAGCTGGTAAGCATTTTGCTGTTTGCCTAGCAAGCAGGGCTTACTGGTAAGTAAGGGATTGGCCAGGATGTCTGTGTTTCTTATTCTGGCAAAGTTTATGCTGCTGTATTAGGAAAGCACTTTTTGCATAGGTTTTATTCACATTTAGTATGACTAGTCTAAATAGTCATAAGTTCGAACCTACCAGCCACCCTATAAGGAAAAGATGAAGCAGTCTGTTTCCATAAAATGACAGTCTTGGAAACCCTATTTAGAATCAACTTGATGGTAATAAGTGAGGTTATGCAGACCATACCTGTGTTTTTGCCACTCAATTAGCTGTAGTCAGAACCCAAACCATTGAGGACTGGATTGAGAAAGTCAGATCTGGGTTCAAGTCTATTTTCTGCCCCTAACTTGGAACATGAACTTGGACCAAATCAACTGAACCTCAATTAAACTGAAGCTTGATCATGTCCAAGGCCACTCTGGTCCTGAAATGCAATTTCCAACTCGGTGCGTTGAGTATTCAGAGAATCAGCTATCTTCATACAATTGTTCTTACTTTGCAATTGAAAATAAAAGATAAGAATAAGTCACAACAACATGGAAAGGTCACATACTATTTTCTTATCGTAGGACTCTCCACTGCTGTAGGTTGTGGCCAATGTCGATGAACACTCTTCCAGGTACCAAGGCTTCTTTCCGCTTTCGGCTGTGCTACTGATAGAGATGGTGTAGATGCTGTTGGTGTAGCCATCGCAGGAACAGTGATCTTTGCTTCTCCCCCCATTTCCGGATGCCCAGACAAAAACCGAGCCGAGGCCTCTCCGCCCCTGTCCACAAACAGAAGAAGTGTAAACACAGGTACCACAGACTCCAGGTGAAGAGAAGATCTAAGTCACTAGGGTGGAGTCAAGTATTTGTAGGAGGCATGCACTAGTATTTAAATAACATGCTGGATTTAAGCTGTTATGGAAGGTTAGGGAAGTGCTTTTAGGAGTTAAAATAAGTAATTCCTTTCACATGATATAATCATCAAAGGAAAAGAAGCACCAATGATGATGGTGACAATGGGTAACATTTGTACTGTACCTACCATGTACCGAGAACAGTCCTAACATTGGATATGAACCAGACTGAATTCTTTCAACAACATGTGAGATTGATAATTTTTTTTTCTCATTATACAGATGAGGATTTGAGATAAAGGAGTTAAATAATGATCCTAAAAGTTCATAGCTGTCACTGAGGGAGCCAAAATGGGAACAAAGACTGTTAGACAGGAGAGTTGGAAAAATATTAGTTGTAATCATTGCGGTCATTTAATATTGCTTTAAATTTTTATATCCACCCTAAACTTAGTACTATCATGCATTTTCACTTAACATTTGAGGAACATGATGTACAGGGGTCTCTAACGGACAACCAGAGTCAGTAAAGGGGAGAAGCTGGTGGGAACCATGTACTTTCTCCTAGACCCACATCTCTCCTATGCATATTGTAGACACCAGTTAGTTAGACAAGTCCTAGTGTGGTGCTGTAGGACAAGCATTGGGCTCCAATTGCAAAGACAGTGGTTCAAACCCATCAGCTGGTCCTGGGAAAATCTTATTGCTATTGTTGAGTGCCATTGAGTCAGTTCCAATACATAGAAACTTGATATGTGCACTAGACTGCGAACCACAAGGTTCATGGTATAAGCCCATCAGCTGCTCCACTGGGATAAGGCTTTCTGCTGTGTTGAAGATTTAAAGTCTCAGTAACCTAATACAGGGTTGCTATGAGTCAGAACCAACTTGACGACATTAACCACCACCACCACCAGAAATATTTCAAGACCACCAGAAATATTTCAAGATCAAAAGCAATCGGAAAATCAAGAATTAAAACAAAATTAAACCAGCTTCTTTATTACAGAAATTCTAAGAACCATGAAATAAGTGAATGTTTATAGCAAACCTCCAGGAGGGGGGCACAGTCTAAAGTACTTTCCAGACATATCTGACCTTTAACACCTTCCCCCAGAACATACCTCTTCTTACAATGCTAGGAGATGGAGTCATATTCTTTATGAGGACATTGGCTAGCTAAAATAAAGGAATAAAGAAAGGACATTCCTAAGATCATAAAATAATTAAGGAACAGAAAGCAAAGTAGAAGGCAGAAGTAATGAAGCAAAGCGACTATTTATTCCTATATGATGAGGTCTTAAGGACAAAACAGAGAAATAAGTCAAAGTGAAGAGTGTTGCTGGGGAATAATTAGAGCCAAATCCCTGAGAAATGCTAACATCTTAGAACTAGAAGTCATTGTGGAGGGCATGCAGGCCAAAGACATAATTTTGTAATTAACAGAACAAATTAAGTCAGTAATGACTGAGCCTCCTTCTTCCTTCCAGGCCCTAATTTCTTTGGTTTCAGGTACAAGGAAAGGTATTAGAGGTATTATTGTCTTTGAATTTCTCAGTAAAGAGCCAAGAGAAGAGAAATTACAAAGAATCTGGAATATCGGTGGCAGACTCTGTCCTTGAATCTTCAAGGAAAAGAATATTTATGATATGATTTATTTTGTCCTTCAAAGTGGAAAAATGTAATATAATTACATAGGAATGGGAAAAGTTCGTGAAGAGGGATAGGGCAGAACTCCTAGATGGCTATTAGACAGCTGGGCCTGGCTTGCCATCTTGTAATTGCCCCTTAACAAATTCATGAAACATAGGTGAGGATACAAAAATTATCAAACCATTCGAAACAAAGCATCTTGTTCAATCAGGAGCCCTTAGTAGCATAGTGGTTATGAGTCAGTCTGCTAACCTCAAAGGCCAGCATTTTGAAACTACCAGTTGTTCTGTGGGAGAAAGATGGTACTTTCTCTTCCGTTAAAAATATACAGCCTCAGAAACCCTATGCATTGTTGCTATGAGTTGGAATTGACGCCACAGCACATAACAGGACCACATGGTGTGGGTCTACCACCATCTGTCATTTTGTCATACTGTGGTGACTTGTGTGTTACTATGAGGCTGGAAGTTTTGACAAAATACCAGCAGGGTCACCCATAGTGGACAGATTTTAGCAGAGCTTCGACATAAAACAGACTAGGAAGAAGAGCCTGGTGATCTACTTCCAAAAACCAGTGAATGAAAACCTACTGGATCATAACAGACCATGCCCAGCTCTCCTGCTTGGAACAAGTCAATAGGAGAGCTCAATTGCTAGAGGATAGCATGTTTGGTGAAATAGAGGGCCAATGACAGGGTGGGAGATGGTCAGCCACTATAGCCAGAGATGGGATTGAACATGGAAGCAATCACAAGGATGGCACAGGATAAGGCAACGTTTTGTTTTCTTGTACATTGTTGTTGTATAGGGTTTCTGAGGCTTTAAATCTTCGCTGGAGCAGCTGGTGGGACCAAGTGGTTCGCTGTCCAGTGCACATAGTAAGTTTCTATAAATGTTAGCATCTCTTGTTTTTAGAGGCTAAAAACATTGTCTTTAATACAATGGACTTTGTATGGGTAAAGCCCCTTTTGATCATAAAGTAAAAGAAACTGCCTCTTGAGACTTGGCCTTGTGTTTTTCCTGTAAGTGTAAGAATAAATACATTGGTTCCTGTTTAAAGAATACATGATCATTGAAGGCTGGTATGAGAATAAAAATATTTTCTAATATGACCAAGTGGAATAACTTCTGTTACGGTGTTAGTTACTACATTGATTATATTTATTCATGTTATCAAGGAACCCTGGTGGCACAGCGAGTTAAATGCTAAGCTGCAGTTCAAACCCACCAGCTGCTTCATGGGAGAAAGATAAGGTAGTCTACTCTCATAAAGATTTATAGCCTTGGAAATAAATCCAAAGAAGCAATACTACTCTGTCTTATTGGGTTGCTATGAGTTGGCATTGGCTTGATGGCAGTGGATTTGGTGGGATACATGCTAACATTTTACTGATGAACAATCTAGGGCTCAGAAATGCTTACTAGAGACAGAACCAGACCTTAAAATCTTCCTGGAGCCAAAGCCTGAGCTTTAAGGTTTCAATAACCTTCTTTTGGGTAAAAGATGGCAAGTGATGGTTGTACTGTTTTCAGCTACATCTCCTGTGTCTTTGTTGAAGGGTGGCACCAGGATCTAAAGGCATATGACCCACCAAGTTCTCTCTAGGCGTGGTGGTAGAAGTGGAGCTGTTGGAGAAAGGAGTTATTGCCTTCTCTTAAGCCCTCTTCCTTACTAAATCAATGTGTCAGGCATATGTTCAGACCAGAGAGGGACTCCCTCAGAAACATGACTACAAGACTTCCTGGCCCAGCAACAGCCACAGATGACACCACTCTTGGAGGTATAAAAGTATTGCTAAAGGTTATTTAAGGAGTTCTGGTAGCATAGTGGTTACGAATTGGACTGTGAACTTCACAGTCAGCAGTTCGAAACTACCAGCTGTTCTGCAGGAGAAAGATGAGGCTTTCTGCTCCCATAAAGGTTTACAGCCTTGGAAACCCCATACAGGGTCGCTATGAGTTGGAACTGACTCCATGGCACATAACAACAACAACAACAATAAAGGTCATTTGGGCAGTCACTGGGTTTAGCATTGGGTTGCTACTGGCCTAGAAGTTTCTCTCCTACACAGAGGGGATATTCAAACAGGGTTCCAATGGCAAACAGATAACTTGAGGAGAATTTAAAGAGGGGACTAGTATACAACTGAGAATGGAGAAAGGGAACCACTGAAGACAGTGTGGTTATTTACCATGCTCAGACGAAAAGGGAACTGGGGAGAAGAAAGTCACTGGTCCTGGAGACAGAGGGCTGAGAAGAACTAGGAACTAGCCGAAGGACATGCCAACACATGTTGGCCTTCAGGGAGGAGTCCAAAAGAATACACAATGAGACCACACCTCTCTCCCCACACTTGCCAGTGTGTCTTCATTAACCAAGTCTTTCCAGAAACCAGATGCCCTAGGAGCCCATAGACATAGGTCCTGCGGGTGAGGGTCCCTGAGCACAGATCCTGTGGAGAAATGAGCTATAGGGTCAAGTGGGAGACATTAGGTATTGTCCTTCAGGTGAGAGGATGCGAGAGAGGGTGATCCGCCCCTTCCACCCCACTGTTCCCTGTGGAGGCTACACAATACACAAAGGCTGCTATCTTTCAGTCCATGAAAAGTTCTGCAATCATGAAGGCAGAACTTTTGCATGTTTGTATGTTTTATGATTAAAGTCCCAGAAATAAACAGACAGAATTTGTGGGATGAAAAATGCTATAGACAGATGCTCAAGATCCATGGGGTTAATCTGAAACAATTAGCAATTCAAAGATTTATTTACTACAGATGCACAGGGGTTTTTCATTAGTGTGCAATATTCAGAATCCAAAACATACGGCAGAAAAATATCTGGAAATTTCTCTAAAATTCAGCGTAATTTAAGAATTAAACTTTAATGTAGGGTATAAGGACAAGGGAAGAGGGGGTGGTCAGAATACTGTAAAGAGAAAAGAATCTGGAGACACAATTTACAACAGTCTAAGAAATAATGACATTTATTAATTTGATGAAATATTTAAATAGGGCTTATTGAAATAGGCCTTTAGATGAAGGAAGAACAACAACAAAAACCCTCAAACCTAATTAAGTACCAAGTTAAAAGTAGCAAATTGAAAGAAGCGCATTGTGAGATTCACACAAGACTTTTGGGAACAAACTCTAAATACTCTTTTTCATTGTACATAGCAATGTGCATGTTATTTCTCATAATATATGCCTACAGAAATCAATTTATAATACCCTATACACATTGTGATTAAAGGACAGAAAGGAATTGCATTTTC